TAAAAATCCGATCAAGAAGTTTAGTATTTACCCAGTCAAATACGATTACACAGAAACAAAACTTTGCGAATTTTCTCTCAGACATGTTCACTGCCACCGCGGCTCTATTTGTTTATTTCAGGCGGATTAGAATAAGGAAATAACAGCTTTTTCAAAGGATTTGAAACTCCGTAAAACTCTTAAGTTCCATTAAACTACTTCAGTTTAACACGTCGGTCTAGAGATATTGAATAAGTGGCCAGTAGCTTGGGAAACCACAGATATTTTCTGGTTTATTTCCTTGAGCACGTTTTGGAAGATGATATTCAGCCTCCCGGAAGTACGGGGGAGTTGCAGTCCCGCCGGGTTTTCCCTACCCCCGCGTGGGCCGGGGATGGGCTGGTATTCTGTCCACAGCAGTGAGAATAAACATTAAACTTTTAACAAGAAAATCGCATGTTTAGAATCAATTCGTTGTAAACTATTTCGGAATTCATGGCCAAAAACTTAGGAATTGATTTAAAACTAAGCATATATGTATCTATTCAACTTTTCTCTGTGGCGTCAACGGTAACCATGATCAGTGCAAAAGACGAATCTTCGGAAATGAGCGAAATTCTGCGTAATCTCTCGCAGACTAAATAATTTCCGATAATCTTCGGCGAGATCTGTTTGTTTTCAGGAGCCCATTTGTTTTCCATATTTCCGAGCGTAAAGAATCACGTTTGATGTAAAAAAAAATTCTAGTCTGACACCCAGTCAGTCAGCACTTGCACACGCTACAGGTTTTTGTAATCAACAGAGGTCAAAGGTGGCCTTTTAGATGACTTAGATTTAAGCTGACTCAACTGTGTCAGTGAGTAGAAGCTTGAGGTAGTTATTCTTAACGATTTGATTGTTTTTATTCTAAAATTAGAAGTCCAAAATTCAAGGATTTTAGTCAAGTGCATCAGTACCTACCGCGATAACCCAAGTTTTATCAGAATAAGTTTTATCAGAATGATTCGATCAGAGTTTGATAACAACAGGGGACTACTTATGCTTAGCCTGATAAGCAACTTGCACTTGTAAGAGAACTCCCAGCTTGTTGCTGAGGTACCTTCCAAAGCAGCCAGTTTTGCACCTGTGCTTTAAGAAAATAACATCTGAATGTTGAGAAATACAATTACTTTCTCAATCTAGCAGAATTAAGCTTAACTCACTTTGGTAACAAAAAGGTTGCGAATTATTTTGATGAGATTAGTTTCGTATCTTATCCACGAATTAACTGCCTTGCGTCAAATCTCGTCTGCTGTACTGATTGCAACAGAACCACTGAGTTTTCATCAATACAAATAGGAAATGCGAATAGATTGGTAAAGTAGTCGTAAAGTACTGCAGTAGCCGAATAGAATGAGTGAGTGAAATGTAAAATCGATAACTTTGGGTTCTCCTTTCAAATTGGTAAACGTGTTATTACCCTAGTGTTGCATTTGCTCTTATCTGATAAGATGTACCCGGGGTAGATGTTAAATTGCATCACCTTCGATAAAATGTTCAATGAGGCGCGAGCCATTTTCGACATTCCATTCCCAGATAAATCTAATAAAATAAGCTACTCACGATCAATTTTCATTTGATCGGATTCTCCTAGATAAAGCTGCAAGATGCATTCAACGATGCAAAGAAAAATTGGACGATTTCAAAAGGATAAAGAGAATACTTCACTGGGAATGCCATTGCAAAACAAAGGGAGAAAATGCTAGATTCTTGCTAAATCTAAAGCTCCTTAATGTCACGTATAGTCTTATCTCGACTCAGTTTAGAGGTTGAAATTTTAACCTAACATTCTTTAAACGCTAGACGTTTTGTTTGATAAACGTGATCAATGAAATGAGAAAGCTATGAAGATTGCAGATAAATCGTGTAATCAGAACTGGATTAATGTTTCAAACCACCAAGATTTGCCGTAACATTAAACATGTGTGCTTTGCAACTTAAAAATAACCATCAACCAAATGGCTGTGCTATCCGCTAGAACATTATACTATCAGAGTATTTAAAATAGAATGGCACTTGAAAGTGTAAAGTGAACTTATGAAAAAGATAAAATAGAAAAATGGGCCAAAAATATACAGTCGAACTTCCCGCTAAATCACAGACACCACGGCTAAAACATACAAGTCACTTAGTCCAAGAGAATTGAAACTCGTTTTTAAACTCTGCCTTTATGATTTGAACACTCGGCTCTGATCTTTTAGTGTCTGTTCTATATGAAGAAGAGCGACAGTCTAAACAGCCAAAACAATAAGTGAAGAATGTGATTCACAATAATTTGACAATAACGGAGTATAAAACTGTATAAACAATTTTGTCGCGAAACAACATTTAACGGTTTTGAAATATTAATCAGAAAGTTCCGACGGTATACAAATGGCCATCCCTAGGCCACTTCAGTTTCCGCAGAGCTAATAAAGTATTTGAGTTCCCTTAACAAATTTGCTTTCCCACAAGTAAAATTTCTTAGCCTAGGTCTTTTTCAAGCTCTTAGTTTGCCCTGATTCAAAACCATTTCATACCAGAGCAGAAACGCCACCTGCGACTAAACTATAGGGCTTTGAAAGCGAGATTATTTACAATACATACAAATTAAACATGATTTAGAAGTTACGAGAAGCATCTGTAAATACTTTTACTTTTGTCTCCTCACGCACACAACTGATCTCCGCGGGGTAGAACCCCGCCTAAAATAAAAGAAATATTGCGGCTTTCCGTTCCCTGCCCCGCCCGATGGGTTAAACCCCATAGCAATTTCTAGCGCTCCGGCATTCTGGTCCAAAACCGCCGCCTCTGTACGAAACAAAGACAACTAGAGACTGTCAAGCTGAGAAGTCCAGCTACATGCGGAGAGCTGTTCCATGCCTGGGAAATATTTTTCAGTTTAAAATGATCATCAATTAAATCGGGATGATATGCAGCTGTACTAAAAAGCGTTGATCGGTGAAGTGACGTTTTCTGTTCTCTCGCAACTAATCAAAAAAGATCCTTAGGGAATTTGCATGGATTTGAAAAGCGATCGAAAACAGGCTCGTTCTTTTCTTTCAAATCCTGTAATAAATTATGTAACCAATACCGATAGTTTTACTTTTGATAAATTAATAGAGATGGTGAATTTTAAGCTCGGTAATGAAATGTGAAGGTGAATTAATCAACATGACACGAGCGTGGGACAAAGTATGCAGGACACCTGTCATACATGAACTCAGTTAAATGAACTCGCTCTCCATGAATTTTCGTAGCTCAGTGGATAGAGCGCCCGCCCGGTGTTCGGGAGGTCATGGGTTCGATTCCTGTCGGGGACTCAGAATTTTTCTTTGTCCCACGCTCGTGTCATGTTGATTAATTCACCTTCACATTTCAGTTTTACTTTTGTTTTTAGTTGCTAGCGCTTCTTAAAGCCATTTAATTTAGACAACCATAGCCTCTGGATCGTCATTCGTCCATTGTAATGGAAGTAGCTGAGAGTTAAAAGCGAAAAGTGCACGAGAGTTTATTCTGTTCATAGCCGGCGAGCCTTAGCCAAAAGGGCGAAAACTCTCGACTATCTTGAAACAGAGTAAAATGCGATAGGAACACATGCGAATCGCCAAGAGCGCATGGGAATTCGGGCCCAAATAAACTAGAACGAAAATTTGGGTCGGCTTGTCAACTCTCCCTTGTTCTCGTTTCGGTACGGGCGTTACTGCGTGTAGCTGCAAATTTTCTCAGCGCGTTCCATTCTTGTATCATGTACCGACGAAAAAGTCAAACAAGCAGGTTATGAGAAAAAAGGATTTAATCACAAAATGTGTGAAATGTTATCAACTACAATCTGCATAATTTCTCCTGGCTGCTATATAAGAAATGCACTGATTATAGTACGGAGAATTTGCAGTTTGATGTCTTGCTCCAGCTTAAAGGAAAACTGAATTACCTACCTTCCATGTCTTTCACCATCTGCGCCTTGGCGTCTTTCGTTCTTTCCAGTTCTTCGCTCAACTCTCCAATTTCATTTTCCTTCGCTTCCGCAATCAACTTTTGTTGATCAATTTGACTCAGCAAATCAGAATTCTTATCTTCTTCGTCCTTCAGCTTGGCTTTCGCTTTTCGCAATTGTTCCTCGAGCAATCCTATTTTGTTGTCTTTAGCTTTGAGATCCACTTGAGTTTTTTCCTCTTGGCTCTCAAGATCGGAACATTGTCGCGTCAGTTCTTGAATTTCACGCCGGAGATTCGAGTTTGAAGCTTTTTCCTCGGCGTTCAGCTGCTTCTGTTTCTGGAGAGTAGACGCCACGCTCTCCAGTTGAAGCTGCTGTTGTTGTTTGCTTTTGCGGAGATTTTCCGCATCGTTTTCCAACTCGCTAATCTTTCTCAGCGCGGTGGTAGGTAAATCCAGCTTCCATTCATCTCTAGCCCAGCTCATGATGCAGAACTGAGTCCACTAGCTGTCAATTATCAGAGTTATATCCTTGAAAAACAAGCGAAACTTCTCTTTGACTTAATTTGTGTTTGTGTTTCGTTGAACTGGCGTTCTGACGTTATGAATGGCTTGCGTTTATCTCGTTTGAACTGCGCGCGCTCGCTATGTTCGCCCGTACATGCGCGCTTATTTCCACACGGGCTTATTTACGACGCATATTTGGATGGGACAACCAAGTATGGATTTGGACCGAACTAGTCTGATGATAGGGGCCTTTGCGAAGTTTTCGGTGGATCGCAGAGTAAACGCGTAGAAGTAATGGACCAATAACAAAAACGAAATCTGTTTTCGGAGTGAACAAAAAACGCGCGCTTTGTGTGCAGGGGACAGTTATGCAGTTTTCATTAAATCGCCTGGAATCATTGCGCACTTGTTGGAAATCAAAGCGTTATACAGCTGAGAGGTCTCTCAAATCAACAGCTCATCTTTTGGTTTTCCCTGATGAGCGGGAAGTGACAAAGCGTGCAAAATATCACCGCCTTTCATCGCTCCCGGTCAGTTTTTGGTGTATACACAGGAGAGGTCAAAGCAGCCAGGAACAATGCGAGGCGACCGTATTTGAAGTCTGGTGTTCTTTAGCCAGACAAACAAACGTCGCTCTCGCTTGTTATCGATAGATGTGAACGCAAGAGAGCGACGACTTTTTTTTTCTCTCGCCTCTTTTTTTTTCTTTCTTTTTTTCCTCACTGTATAATTATAGAAAGCAGGGCAATTGTATATGCATGGCAGTCGTGGCTTGAAGGTGGAAAAGTTAATTGATTCCTAGTTGTACTCTACAAGAGGGCCCCACTGAACTAACACCGCACATTCGCCAATATGGGATTGAAGCCAAGCAGACCTCTATTCTACGTCGGTAACTTTGAGTTTTTCATCACTTGTAGAAACGATGAAGGCTCCGGCGTTGAGTCGAAAAACCAGTAATGATAGGTGCTATCAACACACTTGATTTTTGGCTGATCCTACAGAAAGGGGCGCACTTCAGCGTTGGGTCGCAAACTCATACTCTTTTTAGAAACATATTGTCTGTCAACGCGCGTCACCTTTAATTTCGGTAAAATCAAAATGTGTCTTCAAAATAGATGATTCCGATCGACCGCAAGCGAAACTCTGACGGCGTCCCCTTTGGTCAACTATAAGCTGACATTAATTTCATATTTATCATAGAACTGTTATATGTTGTTATGATCCTGCAAACACAAGTCACTGGATTTTTGACCACAATAAACATGAAAATATGTGCGTGATAGCGGTCTAACTAGTTTTGCGCACTTGAGATTTTGGCAAATACAGAAACAAATGAGACATTATACGTTTCCGTCTACATGTCGAGACACACGTAAGAGTTCGCAATAACGTCTCGTAGTGAAAAAACACGTCTATTTAATTTTAGTATTGTAACTTTAATTTCCGATCGCGGTCACGAAAGCTAAATAGATCGTGTTTTATTTTACTGCAAGACGACCAGCGAAAATTTTTTTTCTTCGGTAATTCATTGCTTTGTGGCGTTGTTTGTATAACTGTATCATCCAGTCCAGAGCTCTTGAAGTTTTTTTTTTTTTTTTTTTGTGACTGATGTTGTAGTTGAGGTGATATTCAGGTTAGGAGCCCAATAGATAGTAGCCAGAAGATAAATGAGGTACCCTGCCTTAATTCACTTTCAACAAGTGTCTAGAAACAAGAGTGTCTAGCTGTAAATTAATACTCGACGAAGTGTAATATATAAATTACTTCTCCCAACTGATATCAGATCATGAAAACAGACACGCGTCGCTTTTTAGTCACGTTAGATTGAAACAACGAAACCTTTTCTTTCTTCGTGAGATACAGAAATTCATAAATCTTTGTGTAGTTTGAGAAATAGCGAGTAGACTAAATTCTAAGAGCTTAAGAAAATGTCTGTTAATGATCCGTGATTCGTTGATCTAGGATCTAGGAATCAATCTATTTATATACTTTTTCTCTAAAGTGGTACTTTAGACACTCGTCAACTTTAATGCCCGCAGAGAAAACGTGGAGACAGATTTTAATACACGTCTCTATAAATAACAGTTTCGAAACAGTTCGTTCATGCATCTTCTTCGTGCTAAAACCTCGACAGCCTTTGGTCGGGAACTCGAATGGTTTTCTTTGTGTTGTGAGGGATTTTAAAATGTCGTTGTCTATGTGAACTCTTGTCACTTATCTCACTCTCAGTTAGTGTGAAAAATGTCCGTGGCCGACAGGGGTCGATACTAAATATTATTATATGGCTTGCTCCGTGAGCGGGCAAGATGAATCAAATCCTGCGCTGTGATTGGCTACCCGCCGTGTCCCGCAAGAAAAATTTCTCCGAAAGCCATATGATAAATCCTTTATTGACCAAGCTTGTTCGGTCAAGATGGCTGGATATTGGCCAAGTTCTTTTTTTGCGTGTTTATGGACCGAGACGAGACGCAAAAAAAGAACGAGGCCAATATCCAGCCATCTTGACCGAACAAGCTTGGTCAATAACCCATTTTCTTCCAGCAAAAGCTCCAAGATATTTTACGTTTGCAATATCTATCTAGACCAAAATCAAACCACATCACCGAAGGAAACGTTTTAAAGCAGAATGGAAACCATTTGAAAACTCCCACGCACAACAACACGAAACATTGAGAAACTATTGATAAACTATTGAAATTCACGAAAACCATTTGTAACATAGATTGGAAACCATTTGCACAACTCCTACATTTCCAGAATCTTTTCTTTTCCAAAATGACTCAGTTAGCGTTGTTCTGCAAATATTAAAAAAGAAAATTAGAACAGCAAAGATTAAGAAATTAAATGAATCATGCACGCATGTACCAAATATGTAATGAGTCGTAGAGACTGTCATAAATGTACGCAATATAACAGTGAATTTTCTTTGATATCAAAGTAACAAAATTTCAAGCGCGAAGGGGGAAACATTCTACAAACGACATTTCATTTCCCTTGAACCCTAACGGAAGACCCGACCCGTTAATTACGAAGGTTTAAAATCAAAGCGAACAACTTTAATATAAGGATTATTGTAAACAAATAAATAAACTTTTGTTTTCCAAACACCGATCGAACTCTGCGTAGGTGATTTAAACCTAATTTGAATCGGACTTCGCACGCGCGGAAATAAACCTGAAACTCCTTTCTACAGTTTTCAAATTATTTTGGTCATTACATCATCATAGTTAAATTAAACTTCGCTAAGTTTTCACCTTCTTCCCTGCATTTCCGATTTTATTTTGTCACGTAGGATTTTGCCAACAAAGCGTTTCTAAAGCGGCAGGAATTTAGTCATGATATTTATAAATTTGTTCTTAATTATGGTTTGTAGCAATTGTGTTCAACATTTCCGTGAACTGACAATCTATTCAACCAGTGATATTGGTTACAAATGTCCCTTTTATTGTGGTTATATAGATCAAATCTCTTGCAAAGATGTTAATTTTAGCTCGGTCAAGTTGGCGCATTTTCGGAAAAGGACTTTTTAACCACAAAAGCCATGTTTTGTTTCCACAAAATTGCGACTTGAAATTGAAAAATCGCCCTTCACTTCCCGACCAAAAACCCATGCATGGTAAAATATAATTTTATGCTCATGTACAAAACTGACTCACGAAAGCACTAGATGGAAACATTTTCTAAAGAGAGCGTATTTGGCGTTTTGTGGACGAAGTATGGTAGTCGAGGATTTTTTTTCTAGCAAACTGCGTTAAATTTTGTGACCTAAGATTTCGCAATTGTGACTTTATACTATAGCAATTACTCCAAATACCTTTACTATACTGATTTCAATGTCGTCTGCATTGTTATACTTCTCAAATTTCCTTTGCTGTTGAGAGATTTGACTCGAAATAAATGACTTTTTCCCCGTACAACATGACAGAATTTGATGCACTTATTTGACGTTTTGTTGTGTTGATTTTACCATTCACTTTATTGTCTTGAGCTTGTGTAATAATAAATTATGACCCTTGCAAGGAAGAGAAATGCTAAATTCAACCTCTGATGACAAGGGCATTCTTTTCAGATTGTTTGTTGTAAATCGCCGGGTTGGTCTTCTTTTTACAGCTTTTCATCAAATTCATAAAAAGCCATCGATGTATACATTTTTGCGGTAATGTGTTTAAACGGTGAATACCTTTTAACGAAAATAATCGCCCCATAAAGTAGGTTTTCTAATGCAGTTTACCTGTACTTTCAGAAGAAAGAAAGGTCTTTGAAGATCTTTGAATAACAATCTTAGAAGCTCTAAACCTTTTGAAGGCTTTCTGAAGTTTTTGCAAGTCTTTCTCGTCCACAGCTAAGTCGGAAAAATGATTTCCTTCTCAGGACATCATGCATGAATTATCTATGTGGGTGAAGTTTCGTGTTTGGCAACCGTAGTTAATATAATGTGTTTTCCGCGGTGGCTATTTAATCGCAACTTGCACCTTTCCAACAACAGAGAGGGCGTGCCAAACCAATTGAGTGGAGTGTCTTTATCGGACTAGATCTTGTCAACGAACGAGAAGACTTCTCTAATGGCGTGAGAAATATCAGAAGTTAATATGAAAGGTAATACATTTCATGACTTCTTCTAAACGTCTCGTCTATTATCGTTGAACTGAAGAGCACAGATCTCAGAGCTGGCACGAAAACTCGCCAGCCAGCCTCCACGACACTGAATTGTTCCTCAGCTAACACTTGTAGGTTAGTGTCTCAATGTTGTTACATTGTAAAATTTGATAACCATTTGCTAGATAGGAAGTACATAGATATAAATCTTTCAAAGGGACGAACTGTGCAAGGTGAGAAAACAATTGAAGCTGTAAAATGTGAGGGGAGGGGGGAATTAGGAATAAGTTTCGTAGTCGTACATTGACACAACACGCGATCTATCAACCATTCTTTGAGTTTCTGAGCGACTGACTTCGAAATGCGGCGAAATTGAATGTCGAAACTCGGAATCAGTCAGCTGAACCCAAGATATAGCTTCTGTCCTCAGACTACAATCCTATGAAAGATAAACAAGCGTCGAAGACGTTTCACTGACTCTTGAGTGAATCAAGTAGTTTATGTTAAACTTAGTAAAATCTTCGTCACGCTTATAACATATCTTAATTTAACTGTTTTGTTTCTTTAATTTTTATGTTAACACCTTCGCATGTTTTCGCATGTTGAGACACAGCTTTATTAAATGGGCTTTGTCTCTTTGTAGGCTTGGGAATTTTTTTGTGTCGGCAGAGGTTGTGAAAACCGCAAACATTTCTCTTGTCACTCAAACGCGAGCGATATAAAAGGTTCCCGGGGTCTGGCACTTAAAACGCAATGTCCGTTTGATCAAAGCTTTATCAAAAGCAGGACAAAAATACATAGCTATTTATTATTAGCTGGCCTTTCATGTAGTCGTTATCAGTCCGTCATCTTTTCAGGTAATTTCAGACATGTAGGTGGTAAACAAATTTGGCGGAGCCTCTCGACGGGAAAAGTTTCGCGCGAATTTTGGGTGCACAACCTCCGTGTAGGTGGTCAACTGAATAAATTCTCTTTTTCCATTGTTAAAGTTTGTTACACGAGCCATATAATCAGTAATTTAAAAACAGAAACCATTCGGAAAGGCTTGGAGTTAACGCCTCAAAGAATATCTTTTTGTAGAAGGTATGGGACTTCAATTTCCAAACGACAGACCTTGTCCGCATAATAATGACACCAACGCTACTGGTTTCTCCCAGAAACTATTAGAAATTATTATTGTAACTGGGGGATTTCAAGCGTTGAAACTAAGCAAAACCGCCGGAGGGTTACAGAAAAACAAAACAACTCGGACGAGAGGGCATCTCTTTATTTAAGGACACCGCAAGAATTCTGCGTGTTTCTACGACAAGAAATGCGCGTCACAGCGGATTAAGGAAATCTTTTCGCTTCCTTCCTCAATAAGTGTTACAAAATGCCAAGCCCGCCCTCTTGAAAAGCTAGCGTCAAAATAGCTATAAATCGTAACAGGGTAATTTACCGTCAAATCACTCGTGAAACCATTAGCGATAAGTATACACTGTGGAAAATTTATCAACGCCGGCAAATAATTTGAATTTACATTCGCACCCTCGTTATAGGGTTCATTTCGAGTGGCTGTGTGGTGTCAACGTTGGATTTATGAGGCGAGTGCGGTTGAATTGGAGTGTACTGATCTGTAGGAAACCCCAGAGAGACAATCTTTAGGGGACATTTACACAAGAGGGTAAGTAAAGTTCCTTTGTTTTCAACGGTAACAGCGGCAAGGTAGAAGCAAATATTGGGTGGATAATTTATTATTAGATTGAGCTTTCAGCGGCGAGACATTAACTGGGTTGTAGCTAGGAGAGGTTTATAATGCCGAGTTTTGAACGTTCAGGATTTATTTCTTCAGAGCGGACAGCACGTGCAAGATTTCACTGAAAGCGTGCTCTTGTGAGCGAGTAAACCCTTGAAAAGCGTCACTCTCCCTCTCTAGCTTTATATAAGCCCGTCTTGAGATGCCCCAACTACGCACTTACTTAAATAACACACCGCAATAAATTTGCCCTTATTTCGCGAGGCTCCACTCAATAAAAAGTTCACCATTCGATCTAGATATTGTTAGTAACAGTTGAATCGAGTATCGTAGCGTAAAAATTTATTGCGACGTTTTGACCTCAGTACAATGTTCTGCCCACACGACAGGGAAATTGCGTTAACCGGGAAAGGTTTATATGTCTACTTGCGCGGGTGTACAAAGACAAGATGTTGGCTGTTTGCACGAGTAGGTTTGTAAGCGGTCAATATGCCCTTTAATTACCTGGAGACGGTCGACTATTTGACTCCAGACCAAGAACTATCTGCAATATCAGTAGACAACATAACCGACCTCCCTATTATCTAACTGAAAGAGATAAGGTGACGAAACAATTAGCTTCGGGGAAGGGAACTTCGCCTCTTGCGTACGAACTACACGAAGAATTTGATTGCTTTCTGGATCGAAATACCGTAACAGATCCCCAGGAGACTTGAACTCATAAAACTAAATGAATTATCGTCTCAAAAACTGACACATAGAGACCAGTTTGATACACATGAAATTATGGGCGTGTAACAGGGTGCGTTAATAAGTTTTATGCCCTTGGCTAAGTTTTATACTCAGTACAGTACAATTCTGTCCGCATTGGTTAGCAATACACAATAACGGGTAATTATGTTGAGTTTATTTGCATAAACTCGCAGATTTTTATCTTAAAAACCGCTTATAGACATTGCACGCTTGGCTAGAGTTCTCTCTAAATAGCAAAAAAAAACCTGGTTTC